GAAAAGCACTGGGCTTTGGTTTTAGATACGTTCGCACGCGTGCAAGCCACATCGCCCTCAGCTGACAATATTCGACTGTGAACTCATACTGTCGGTATCGTCCCGTGCAACCATACCTAACATGCTATAACGTGCCTATCCGTTCAGAACAGATGGCGGGTCCGTTGCTGGCTGATATCGTCGTCTTCTTCTTGTCGATCTTTGACAGCCGTTGGCGCGCTGCGACTCTAACTGTCGAAAGGCGTGACGTAGGTTCGGATCGTCTATTCAGGCAGTCTTTCGTTTGTCAAACAGCCTGCTTGCCCCTTGGCAACCTAGGCGACAACCAAACTGATACAACTTTCGATAACGCACTACCATGTAGGACACTGCAAACGCAAGATATGCAGTAATGTTAATACTTTTGTGACACTTTCAATAGAGTCCCTTCTGGTTATGTTGCACATGGATAGGATAATCAGGTGCTGCCATGGCGACCAGTGGATCACAGTAAGAAATGTGGAAACGAGAAGTTTGCTGTTCACAGAGATATTGTTTGGTTGGCATCTTCTGAAATTGATCTCCAGCGCTTTCTGGAAAGGTTCGCATCTGAGTGTGACGTTGCCGGTATGCGCGTGAACATATTTAAGACGAACAGTTTGGAGTTTTCTCGTTCTCCTGCCCGTTGTTTGCTTCAAATAAGTGGAATAGCAGGTGGGGGAGTTCAAGTTCCTAGTGATTGTATTTACAGGTGATGGAAAATTTGAGGAAGACATCGACCGGCGAATTGGAACGGCTAGCCCGAACTGTTATAAATAACGCAAAGCTGAGTCTGAAGATTAAGCTGTATGTGTTCAAGTCGATCTTCATACTCCTGCTCAGTTATGGTTATGAATCATAAGCAATATCTGAAGATCTCTATTCTGATGTAGAAGCGGCTGAAATGAGCTTCCTGAGTCGAATCTTGTCTCACGTGTCTCGTCATTGTTCGAATTTCAGATATCCAAGAGACCCTAGATGTACAGCTTCTGCTTTTCCAGACTGAGAAGTCAAAACTACGACGGTTTGAGCATGGCTTGCGAATGCTTTCAGAAAGAAGGAGGAAACGGCCACTTTGCTGAACCGACCCGCCGAAGATCCTG